GAATCTGTGCAACGACAGAAAAAACGTTGAAATTTAAAAAAAGGATAGAAATCGCATTTTTTGGCAGAAACTATAAAAGCTAGAGCAACCAAATTTTGTATCTGGACTTCTGTGGCCGTATCTAGCAGATTGCTGATTCTGGATCAGTTCGGATTAATGTTGTAGCCAGAAGGAACCAACGAAATTGTAGTGACTATGCAACGCCCTCCACGTGCTTACTTATTCTCTCTCTCTCTCCCCCTCTTTCACAGACTCTTCCTGGTGCAGTGTGCGCCCTCCGGCAGAGGGTAGCCATACTGACTGAGTATCGGGCTTAACAGCGGCAAAGGCCGCGACTCACAATGTACCCCGTCGTGTTTATTTAACTTCAATTGTGGGTTTTACTTTTTTGTATTAATTTTTATTAAAAATTAGCCATAATAATTATTTTTGAGCTACACAAATGGTCTTAAACATCGACAATCTGTACAGGTGTGGCTAAAACTGAACGAGAAACTGAAATAACACCTTAAAGAAAACTTAAAGACAATCCGGCTTTCGAAACTCGCTCCAGGCCTCGCATTGAGCCCATCAAATACTCGGACGAGTATGTTCTCATTTTTGCCAGCTGCTAATCCCCATCAATGACCGCTAAGGCAGTGGCAATTAACAGGCCATACGTTCAATTGGCTATAAACCATGATTTGCATTGATAGGCGCCGCCGAAGGGCTTAAGCAAGTCACACGAGCTCAAGTCGGACACTCGGACTCCAGGACCAGAATGAATCAGAGCGTCAGGCACACGTCGCATTACAGGATATCCCCCAGGGATTAGCGCAGCCGTGTACTAATACAACTGTGTATTATGTGTTGTGCAATTACTCATGAGGGGCCGGGGGGGCCAGGCCAGGCCAAGCCAGGCCAGGCCAGGGACAGGGACAGGGACAGGGTTGAATTCAGCTTGCCCCAACATTAAATGTTGCAATAAGAAAGTAGCCGGAGTGCACTCTCGGGTCGCCTCGCCTATTACTCCTGCTAATGGCGTGCAATCCCGGCCAGATGCAGGTGGGCGAATCCGAGGCGAACACTTAAATGAAACACCCGCCAGCACTTGGGGCAATTCATTTCGTTTCATTTCATTTTCGGCCCGGACGGAGCCAATGGATGTGGCACAACAGCAAACGGCAACAGCAAATCCTCAAAGTGCAGCACCGTGACAGCCGCACTCCGCCCTTTTGGCCACTCCCGAAATTGCAGAAAAGCCATGAAGATGTGTGCCCAAGAGTTTCACTCGAAAGTGCTCAAGGATTTCCCCCCAAATGTTGGGGAAATTCACTAACGGACACCTGACTTGGTCCGCCCCCTCTCGAGTACCCACATGGGGACCGACCCAATGCCATCCAGGGCGCAATCTGAAAGAAATGATAAACAACTAACAGGCCAAAAAATCTATCTCAAATCACTTTTAAATACATGTATTTTTTCGATTTACATTTTTTCAGTGTACTTATAATTATTTTGGTTTGTCCTCGACTTTTCGCTCATTATATGCTTCTTTTCAGGCGAGTCCCTTGCTATACAAGTTGTATTTCAGAGGGTTCCCTAGCCGTTAAGAACTTGAGTTTCCATATCCATCCTCGTGGTTATCCTGTGTGCTTGGTATCAACACTTCCTGGCAGTGAAAATCGTCCGGCTGACCGACGAAGTACGAACATTCAACATTGTCGTCCGAACCTTTCTCATCTTCAGAACCTCGCGGTTTGCGACTCTGCAAAAAGTCGAGTATTTCGCCGTAAAACGTGGCGTCAGAACATTCCTGATATGGAAAGGCATGAGTTTTGGGACTCTGCGAATCGTCCGGCTGTTCCTCGTAATGGGGACACTTCTCATTGTCGTCCGAGGTATCTTTAATCGACTTGGAGTTCTCTTGCGAATCGTCATCACTCGATTGTGCGCAAGCTTTTGAAAACAGTTCGGCCAGAAAGGTAGAGACCTCCACCTCCCTTGAGGCCTGCTCTGCATTGTGGTTGTGCTCTGGCTCTTCTTTTTGGATGTCAGGCTTCATCTGTTTTTCGGTGGACTGACCGTCGCTCATGCTGCGGAAAGACAATCTTCATACTACTGCCATTACTAAGCCACAATTAAACTTACATGGAAATGTCTTCAAATCTTTTAAATTCCAAAAAACTCTGCCGCTCTTCTGGCTTGTTGATTTCGCTTGCTGCTTTTTTGTACACACAATTCAGCACACTGCAATGAAAAAATGTATTCTAAACAATCACAAAACTATCGTGGCAGTTGGGTATTCTACTATATTTACGCAATTTGTACGTTTCTTACAAAATTGTCCAGGTTTTTTAATTATTTTCCCAATTTACAATGCTGATGCTGATGTCGTCCAGTGTTCGGAACACTAGTTCGGCAACGCTTGCCAGCTGGCGCATGGCCGTGCTGGAAAATGTCGCCGGCCGATCAGCTGATTGAGTCTGAAACTTCGTGGGGGGTGGGGGGTCTTTGGCGGTATTGGGCATTGATTTCCTTGGTTTTCGTAATCAAAAGTTTGGTTTACACGGATTTCCCACACAAACAGCTTCATTTTCAGCAGTTTGCAGAGGAAAAAAGGACGAGCTGAAGGTGGCGACGAGTACGAGTCGTTGGAGTATAATAAATTCGTGTGTGTTCCACCAACACTCTCACAAATTAATTAAAATGATTGGCCCGCTCCGGCGGCTGCCAGGCTCCGCCTGGGACGGGCCTGTCCCTGTCCCTGTCCCTCCACCTCCACCTCTCCCTGTCCCCATCTGCCATGCTGCCAGTTCCCTGAAGCTGCAGCCAAACGCGCACACGTGCCACAGTTATGTAGATAAGCGGGTGTGTTGCAAGTGGGGCAAATGGCGGAGATGGACGCCGTGTGCCGGGTGGAATGCTCGCATGCTCGGGAAGCGCTCGACATTGGCGACGTGTCGCACGCAATTAGCAAAGTAAGCTTAATGTGGTTTCACTTGAATTACTTGCGAGTGGATGTGGCACTGGCACTGGGGCAAAGGCAGTGGGGCAGGGCATTTCTTGATGCCGCAGATGCCATGCTCCGTCGTGCTCTGCCGTGCTCATCAATTGCGACGACAGCAGACGGTAGCCGGCAACCGACAACCGGCAACCGAAAAGGTGGCACACTCAACTTCATTTATTTTACTCAAATTTCAAACTGCAACGGATGCACTTGCAACGGCAGCATTAAGAAGAGGTGGGAAGAGACCCCTGCTGGGACTACTCCCAGCTCCCAGTTCTGGTTGATGGCAATGCCTCGAGGTGGATGGCGTGTGGCGTGTGGCGTGTAGCGTGTGGCCCCCAAACACGGCCATATGCCATCGATTTGGGCGACGCGCCAGAGGAATGCCAGACCATGCGATGGAATCGCTCCGCGGTTGCACAGACCTGCGTCTGTTCACTCAATTGCATATTTTCCGAACCAGTTCAGCGTCCCAATTTCGATTTGATGCTTGTCTGCCTTTCGTTCTATTTGATTTTATTGCCCGATGCTCCGTTAATTGTTTTAGGCCGTTGTTTTCCAGCTGCATCGACTCTGATTGCAATTTGGTTAGTTTTCAGCCTTCTGCCTTCTTCTGCCTCATCCTTGGCTTGTTCGTATATTCAATTTTGGTGGTCATCGAGTTGCAGAGTTGACGGACTCCCAGGACAAGATCCTTTCTGCATAATGGTTGGTATTTTCGACTCTACACTCTTTTTGGATCGCCGTGGGGCTTCCATCGAATACGCATGCGAATCAGTTCCAAAGTCTCTGCGAAGGTCATATATCAGCGATGTTACTTTTACTATTAAAGCATTCCTTAAAGGAATTGCAGATGCTGTCTTCGGTGTGTTTTTGTGGAGTGGAAACCGAAAGTGTCACACACAATTGCACTCTTTAGTCGTCGCTTTTTGCTCAGCCCGCTACCAGTCCTGCCAGTCCATGCCAGAGAATAAAATAAAGAATATTCCTCTAATTGTCGCCCAAGTGGACTTCAGGATCACTCTCTCTCTCTCTCTCTCCCCCTCTGTCTGTCTGTCTCTCTGTGACATCTCTTTATTTTTGCATGTTATTATACATTCTACATGCAATGCAATGACACAAGACAAGGGCAGACATTTTGCTTTTGTCTTTTTTTAGCACTGAAAAGGGAGTGTAGTCCAAGCCCAGAGCCATTTCCCGGTTCTGGCCCTGTCTGCGGCTCTGCACGTTTGAAATTTGGACACACAGCTTTTTTTTCCGCTACGTGTCCCATTTTCTGGCACTCGCTATGATTCGTCTCCGCTCGGCTTGGACCCAAAACTGGGCTGGAGAGGGGACATTAATAAAGAGTCCGAGCTACTTCCTTGTAGCCAAATTTGAGCACTTTGCATGTCCATATCGCAGTAGAACTTGCCGTTTCGTTCGCCCAAGTTGTCTTGCCATATATCGCTTAGATCTTACGCATTTTACTTGAAATGTGCAGTATTTAGATCGTCGATTTGTACATATTTGGGAGCACTGAATCCATTTCTTTCTTTCCAAATTTAATGGACTAGCATACAATCGCTACAAGGCCTATCGATGGTCGATCCTCAAAGGCACTGGCTCGCAAGGCAAATTTCAAACAGATCCAATTTCAAGTTACCAGGTCCGCAGATGAAGTCGCTGAAGATGTAGCACCAGATGTAGATGTAGTGTACTCAAAGATGAAAGTATCGTAGTCTCGTCTCTCAAATATTGTATTCGATTGTCCAATGTCAGAAGATGCCCGGATCAATACGGGTACTGTAGAGCACTTTTTGCAGCAGAAACCATGCGTACAATGTGGCGCCGCACTTTACGGGTTTCTTCTTCCTTCGGATGCTGTTTCCCTGCCAGGCTTGCAGTAAATAAATGTATCGATAGTGCGATAGTTCGGTGCACTCTCTAAGTCGATGAGAATAATGTCAATGAGTAAAATCCCGTGTCAGTGAAAATTTAGTCATTCGCTTGTGGGTTTTTGTAATTTTTCCGACTTATTTTTTTTCGCTACGCTGCTTTGGGGTAAGTGGAGCATTGTGCGGTGTGGAATATTGGCCTAATACGATACTTTTCAGTGCTATAGCTATCAGGGCTATTGAGTAAAATGAGTAAAATGGCGCAATCCCACTTCCAGTCGCCGCGTTTTTCGACATTGCACATGAAGCCTGACTTCACGTACACCCCCTTCCTGAAGAAGCCGATCCACCTCGCGAACGTCACCCTCGAGCAGGGAATATGGGCCAAGCTCTGGCTGAAGACCAAAAGCAATGAGAAAATGCTGGCCGACTTGCGTGAATGTTCTCAGAAAGTGTCCCTGGACATCGACGTACACCCGGGCGGAGTGCTCTACCTGGAGTCCAATGGCCCCGTGTTTGTCACTTTGGTGGGATGCATGCGGGAGCTCGAGCACGGCAAGAGCGCCTTTCGCATGGAGGACTGCTTCATAACCGCCACAAAGTGGGTCAAGTGTGAAGTCCAAAACAACAATCCATTCGCATAAGTTTACACTGTAGCACAACACTGTCTGGTTGCCAATGCACTAGAAATCAACATATCAATCGATCAAGAACAATTCTCAAATACACACACATTCACAAAGCAATGAAAGTGTGTAAGTTTGTTTCTTTTCGCTGCGTGCATCGAGTGGATTGTTGATCAGTTCTTGGTTGGGCTAGTGTGGCTAATAGTTATCCGGATTATTCGAGAATATGCATCTGATTATTCGTATGCCTTGGTGGCTGGTACCAGTGCGTGCCGCCTTTTCCGCAGTCAGATGCGCATGGCGGAGATGAGCAGAAACTACGCAGTGGAGTAGTCCGTTATTCCTTCAATTCGTGTTCGACGCACTCGACTATAAGGAATATCAAAGATGAATTGCTGAGAGAGTGTTGTGGGAGGATGCAATACGGCGGCGAATACTGCAGGTGATAAAAGAAGCTGGTACAAATCGAGAGAGCTCAGCTTGGATCGGGACCCCACTGCTTAACGCACCTACCAATGCAGGAGGAAGAAGAAGGCCAGTCCGGCATACACTTTAATGACACATTTTATTGTATTCTGTGGAGTGCTCGAATGCTCGTTTGCAGCAGTTCGGAGCCGTTTAGGGCTGCCATTACCTGTGCTGCCTGGTCATTTTATTGGTTGTCCTATTGAAGGGCATTTTGGTGGCTCTTGGCCACAGATTTACACGCCACACACCACCCACAGATGTACGAGTGTGTACACACGTGTGTACTTATATATTTAGTATCATTGTGTATCAGGTGTATCTGTGAGTGATTCGCTTGCCAGGATACGGATGCCCGGACGCCTGACGACTCGCTCCGCGGGGAATTTGACGTGTGAAATGCGTAAAAATGTTCAAGCATTTGAATATATCTGGGTATCCTTGTGGTATGGTGTGTGGTGTGTGGTGCGTGCTCGGCTCTGTCTGTGGGTGTTTATGTGTGGCAATCCGAGTAAAAATTACATTAGTGGATGGATCACAGGGAGCCGCGCACTCAGCTGACGGCTGGATTCCCCAACGAGGGAATCAAAGTCATGTTTGACAAGGAAACTCCATTAAAAATGCAACTTTTGAATATCCCGACGCTGAATGGGCAAACAAACAACGAAACAACTGAACTGAATCTCCGACAGCCACAGCCACAGCCACAGACCCGGGAAAAGCAAAAGCAAAAGCAAAAGCAACAGTGTGCCCGTTAATATTACTGCTGGTTTTTACAGCCAAACTAACAGCTGGACGCGGACTATCCTATCTATCCCTTGCCGCAGACAGGGGAGGGGCACGTAATGTGGCACGGCACCCAAAAAACTTCCAGCCCCACCCCAAGACCCAGCAAGACTGTTTGTTGTCTTTGTGATAAATGACCACTCCATAAATTTTTATTTCTGCTCAATCTCAATCTTTTGACCAATCTCTCGAGCGAGCTGCGTCTCCGTGGCACCGTCTTTGGCTCCAGCCCCATCCCCCTTTTTCGGCGGTCAGTTTTATGGAGCCCTTTTCCACAGCCAAGTTGTTTTTCAGCGCATCAGAAAGTTGTCCGTCGTGTCAGATAGCGAAGTACGAGACTGAGAACAAGTATCTACAAGTTCGAGTATGAGTATGCGGCTCCCCTGGAGCCAAGGGAAGCATGCAAATTGATTGCATTGCCAGGTGGGGGGAGCAGCCAAATAAATGAAAGCACTGCCATTGACGTACTCATTGCCATCTTTGTTGTCTTCCTGCCATAGTCGTTGAACGTTGAAGTTTCATTGTCCTGCCATAACCAGCGATGTCTATAATGAAGAAGATGTAAACATGACCGTTGAGTAGATGTCAGCTTTCCAAGAGCCAAACTCCAAGACGTTCTTAAGATGCTAAGATACTTCATACTTTTCATTGTGAATTTACAGAGGTCCCCAGACCCACTCGCACCAAAAACTTGTTCATATCATAGAGAAATCTATATATGTACTCGTAGAATAGAATATTAAGAGTATTACTACTATTTTGCAAGTGTTTTTAGCATACTGCTGGAGGTACTTGTCTGTATCTTTGTTATGTAGAAAGAATATAAAGCCATTCCAGTGTTGGGTTTTATCTGAGACTTGGTCTATGACTAAGATGAGCTCTTAGTATTAACAGTATTGAGGCACAAGCATCATCGTTAGGCCATCCTCCCATTGTAAGTGTTTCTTAAGTTATACCCCACCTTGTCCCCACCAGTCAATTAGCTTTCTTGTTGTAGTTTTTAAGGTACTCTCTCTCTCTCTCTGTCTCTCTCTGTCTCTTTGTACTATCTGAAATTCAAGAGTAGTTTATCATATTATCCTGTTGTGAAGCTGCCACACCCCCATATTCCCCTCGCCTAATGCATTATGCAGCAGCGTCATCCACTCTCGATCTCAGTTTAAATCGCTGTTGCCATAGAAGTTTTGACTCATTTGTAGTCCTCTGGGTGACTCCTCCGGTGGTGTCGTCCGGCCAGCGGTGTCTTCCTTCCAGCACTGCCCTGTCCTGCTTTTCCATTTCCTTTCGTTTCGATTCGTTTCGCTTTTCTTTTGCGGCGTGCGGGTTTTCTTTCTCTCTGTTATTTCCCGGACGTGATTGGAGCCGGGGCCAGGCGGTAAATTGTAAGCAGACGTTCAACGCACGTCTGCGTCCATAAATCAATTACAGAGCTCATGGAAAAAGCCGCCACCGCCACGGGGCGTGGCAGCAACCTACAACTGTCGATGGAGTGTGTGTGTGTGTGTGTGTGTGTGTGTGTGTGTTGGGTGTGTGCTACTCGTTCTCTTAATGCTCCTAGATAAGGATAAGGCCCTGTGAAAGCGAAAATTTTTAACGCAATAAAGAGCAACCTGCATTTGCCCGGGCTCACGAAAATTTGAAAACTTTTTTAATACTTTGTCTGCCTGCCACGAGAGACCCGCGTGCCCTGAGAGCCCCGAGAGCGCCGAAAGCTGAGTCCTGAGTCCTGAGTCCTGAGAGGTGGCAGCAAGCCGCAGGCCGTGGCAAGCTGCTCGGATTTACCGCATTACAAGCCAACAACTATGTGCATACAGGGAAACTTTAAGTGGAGGCGCCCCCAGAGATCCCAATAACTTTAAATAGTAGTCGTGCAATCGCGGTGGGCGGACGGGATGGTATGGGGGCGTTGGGGGCGTTGGGGACGGTGGAGGCGGCTCGAGAATTAAGGAAGCGAAGATACGTAACGATAGTTTGGGTAAAGTCATCCGCTTGGCTGGCTCCATTATTGATTGCTGCCCAAATTCGTTCCGATCTAAACAAAAACATTGGCCCAGATTCGAGTCGTGGTTCGTGGCTCCTCTCCTCCATTATTGATTGATTGATTGACGCGTCTGCTGCTGCTGCTGCTGCTGCCGCTAGGACTGAGTGCCTGCTCGTCTGACAATTTGTCGCCTTGATTGATCGCATCATCGTTGCCAGACTCCACACTCGCCAGCACTTTCCATTTCTGTGGCAGGTTAAATATTCAAATGCTCCTCCAGCATTCTGCCACCGCGATGCTGTTTAGTTCTGATTTGACACTCATCTTGAATGCAAACGTTAATCCGAATATGGTCTATTTTACACTGGCACAAAAGAGTGCAGTGGGATGGGCATCCCATCTGTTCACGTTTGTCATGGGCTCCAATCTCCGAGTCTCTCGATTTCCAGTGCAGTATGGAACCTCTTGAAGCTGTCTGCTGTCATCTCGCGAGGATTCTGACTGGAGGATTCTGCAGCGTGTAACCTGCAATCCGGCATCCGCATTGATTTGCAAATTTTCAGCCTGACTTCAGCTTCGTGTCAAAGCACAGGGCACTCCTACTCCCACTCCCACTCCCCCTGCCCCTGCTTAAAGCTGCCATTGCACTTGCACTTGACATCCCCATGGCCTCATTCCGGCAAGGCAATGTCAGCGGCTTTGCATGGCTGAATGGATGAATCTCCGGATGGTAGACGGTGGATGGTGAGATGGTGGGATGGTGGGATGTGTTGGTGGGTGCCTGGTTGGCGGTGGTGACGGCCAGTGCGCTTCCATGGTGCTCTCTCACTTATTAGTTTGTGATTGGATGGATGCCTTTTTGCGGCATTATGCCGAGCCGTCGCTGGCTGCCACTCGCCGTGCCATTACTCCGGCTTGTTCTTGCTCCTTGTTCCTTGTTCCCTGTGCCTTGTTCCTTTTGCCATGTGCCTTGTCGATGCCATGATGATGCCACTTCATTAGCAACCCGCTCCGGGGCAGAGACTCAGGTTCAGATGAGTGCTTATGGAGGAGGCTCCAGTTTCCAGTTTTCAGCTTTCAGCTTTCAGTTTCAGTTCCAGCTCAGGTTTAGCATCATCTCGTATTCCATCTCTCTTGCTTTCCTTCTACTTCTTGCTCTCCTTCTGCATCTGCTTCCCCACTTCATCTCTGTCTATCGTTTATTTGCGCTTGTTTTCCCCCGTGCGGCTTTATTATTGTGTTCTGTGCCAATTTCCGCTGCCGACAAATGCGTTTTGTAAATAAAATGTCAAAAGGATTTTGCGAGCGAATCCCCTGTCTGAATGGTCTGGCCAGACGTTAAGCAGGAGAGTGGAGGGGCCTGGAGGGGCCTGGAGGGAGGAGTGAGCAAGTGGCTCCTGTCATCTTTTCATTTGTCGATTTGCCGCCTTACAGGGCCTCTAATTACAAGGTATGTATTTTATGGGCAAACACCGCGGGAATGACTCTCCACAATACGATGATAGTCCTGCCACGATGTATCCCGATGTATCCCGATGTATCGTTCCGTTTCCCGACTCGTGGCATTCCAGTTCCCCTTTTGCGGGACAGCACCCTGTATGTGAACCGTTAACTTGACGCGAAATTCTCGAATGCCAGAACAGATGTGGCCGCCTCGCCTTTAACTTGAGCTTAGCTGCCTTCTCCCTCCTTCCTTTCCTGTGTGGGCATGGGTATGGCCCCCTTTGATTTTAGAGCGTTTTCTTTGTACGAGTGTGTGTGTGTTTTTAGTTCGATTTTCGGGCATGCCACGCCCCCCGGGCTCCCGCAATGTCTCACTGCCGCTGGCACATTTATTGCCAAACGCATTTGCATGTAAATTATTGCATTTGGACGTTCCC